TTAGGAGAATTTATATGTTGAGAAATATATAATGAGTAATGCGGATGATTTTCTTCAAAACAAGAATTTTATTTAGAAGCCGTTATATATACCGTTACTTTACGGACATTTCGCTTTTTTAAATGCCGCATTTTTAAATATATATTTTTTATTTTGGGTTGGATATTCACAAAAGGGTTGGATATTCACAAAAGCACGAATGGAATCATTTAATTGTTTCACTGTATATTTCAATTTCTTTTAACTTTTAACAGTTTAGGAATTATAATTCATTATATGCTTGTATTACAGGATGCAAAAAACATTACGTTAAAACCTGTTGTTTTTATTTGAATATTTTAACCTGCATAAGCTAGCTTCTCAAAGTAAATAAAGTATTGTGTATTATTCAAAGTATTGTTTCAGCTATTTGTTTGTATATATATATATATATATATATATATATATATATATATATATATATATATATATATATATATATATATATATATATATATATATATATATATATATATATATATATATATATATATATATATATATATATATGTGTGTGTGTGTGTGTGTGTGTGTGTGTGTGTGTGTGTGTGTGTGTGTGTGTGTGTGAGTGTGTGTGTGTGTGTGTGTGTGTGGCACAACTGATTGAGCGCTAGTTTCATAACAGCGAATCTTCAAGTGCAAACTGGCAAAAGTGCGAACTAGCATAAGTATAAACTGGCGTAAGTGCGGAAAGGTTTACAAACATTAGAATTGGAACTGATATAAGAAAAAAAAAGTTGCAAGAACTGATAAAAGTGCAAACTGGCATAAGTGCGAGTCTTCATAAATGCAAAACATAAATTGGCATATGTGCAAACTGGCATGTATGCCGTAACAATTTTCAAAAACTGGCATAAGTGGGCCAAAAAAAAAGTAAAAATATTTGCATAAATTCGAATCTTTATGTCAATCAAATCTTTTGGCGCACATATGCCACTTTTATGCAAATTCTTTTAGCAATTTATGCTTCGCACTTATGCCAATCTTTGCAAATTCATGTGGTGCACAAATGATTGTTATGCCAGTTTGCACTTATGTCAATTTTAATGTTTAATGTAAAAATAATTTCAAAAGTTAATACCCACGTTGTTAGTGTTAACTGTTTACAACTTAAAAAGTTTTAAGTTAATCAGCAGAATAGTGTTAATTAACACCTCAAGGTTTAAGATTAACTGTTTAACTACTTAAGGTTAAGCAGTACACAATAGTTATCGAAGTGTTCGTAATTTTCGTGGATGTTTAATTTTCATTAATTTTCACACAATGCAATGAAAATTGATAGAATTTCATATTAATTTTCACACAATGCAAACTTAAATTTTTTATTTTAAGTCAAAACTTAAAATAAAAAATTTAAGTTTGCATTGTGTGTTATTTGTTTTCGAGCAAACAAAGAAATTTATGTAAATATTAGTACCATCTACTAGCTGTTGTTAATTTTAGCTTGAGAAAATATTAGGATTTATAGTTTTATAGAACACTACTTTTTTAATATTTTGCTCTAATTTCTTTGCACAAATATTCTTGTGCACATGCTCTGCGCTGGCTTAAACTTATTACACTATATAGATTACTTTGACTTGATTGGTGTTTAGTTAGGCTAAAAAATCGATGAAATGTAAAATGCTTTTATTTGTGTTTTTATTGTTGTTAGGAAAACAAAATGGACAAACATTGTAATGATCGTCACAAAACCCCACACAATGGAAAGTGGAAAACAAAAACAGAAAAAACTAAAACAACAGTCAGAAAAGTTTTTGAATATAATTTCTAAAACATGATGAATCACTGATTTCATACAAAAATCAAAAGGTATTTGATATCCAGTTCCAGCTATTTTTTTCAATTACGTGTGCTCGGTCAGGACATATCTATAGCCATTAACAATGATGAATCTGAAAGTAAGATTACTTACTCTATCCTTAAAGCAACTGTGGCGAGTCAAATTTTTCCAAATATATCGTATACCCAGTGGGCACAGGACCTAAAAAAGACGTCTTTTGAACGTTCAAAAGACGTCTAAAACTTCTAAAGACGTCCAAAAAAAAGTTCAGAAGACGTTTTAAAGACATCTTCGTTACGTCACGTACCCACTGGGTAGGAACTTGAGGTCAAACTCAAGATAAAAAACCTGGAACTTCTCATAACCACATTTTTAGCAATTTACTATAAACTGCAAAACCCTCCTATGAGTCAAATACTGGTAATGTTGGCAACATTGGAACCTGGTCGGTTGTTGAAGACAAAAAAGTTTTAGATAAAAATGAAACTGAAATACTGCAGAATTGTAATAAAAAGTTATTTGAGAAATGTTCAGTAAAGCAGACCAACACAACTGGTGAGAAGAAACGGCGTCGCAGATGTTAGTTGAGTATGTTTGTTCGACGAAACTGAAAGGGTGAGGTAGTGAATTGATCATGGTTAACTTTTGTACCCATTCATGTAAATCTGTAATGGGTACGTCTTACGTTTAACTTACTGATAATGGATTTTGCAAATGGATACATGCATGAAAATTCAAAGAATCATTTTATAGCAGTGATTGGATTGGCACAAAGAAATTGGGTACCGTACAAAGTGATATTATACTATAACAACTAAAAAATGTGGAAAACTAAAGTAGAAGAACAAAGGAATGTATACTATATTTTATATTCGCATATCCTCGCAGACGGAAAGTCACGTGGTTAACAAATTAACAATAGCGCAAGTTGTTACCATCTTGAATGGGAGCAAACAAATGGTTAGTTGAGTTAATAAAGCACGAGAATTTGTACAAAAAAGTGATCTAAAAAGTTTAAAAAAAGAAAATTCGGTTTACAAATACTTTGAAAAATTAGATTTTAAGAAAGGTATATTAATAAACTTGCAATCCTTGGAATCAACCGATGTCTATACAAGTTCCTTGCAAATACTTGGAAAGATGATCAAACTGAATGACCATGAGTTCAATACCATGACGTTTATAATTATTTAATAAAAAGTCCTATAATATTTTCTTTTGAGGCTATAGATAATTACGAAGCATTAGATGCTTATAAATATTTTGGCTTTGGGTAGATGCAGGAAGTTTTTCACACGAAGTTAAACTCTAGTTTTGTTGTTTTGAAAACACAAGTTGTCTAAATTGTGCGTTTAAAACAACAAAACCATCTTAGTCACAAGAGTTGACTCAAAATACCAAAACCATCTTATAAAACATATATATATATATATATATATATATATATATATATATATATATATATATATATATATATATATATATATATATATAATGTAACCATATAATGTATATATATATATATATATATATATATATATATATATATATATATATATATATATATATATATATCAAAAAATCACCTATAAACACAACAATTCTTAGGCATTTTAAAGACTTTTAAGTTATGCCATTGTTTTCGTTTCAGAAAGAAAGTTTATTTTCCCCCAACTAAAATGGTAGCTGTTCGCGGCAAAGATTATGACGTATTTCCGACTGCGAGGTCATGGTCTTCCTCTTCGTGGAGAAAAAACATGGTGGAGAAAAAAAAACTCGTGGAGAAAAAACATGGTCTTCTTCTTCGTGGAAGAAAAGAAACTATTGGATCACCAAATAATGACAACTATCTAGACATGCTGGAGATCATAGAAAAATATAACGATTTTTTGAAACAGGAAATTTCAACTATCTCTTGTTGACAATCTACGCAGAACTTATTGAACTAATGGGGAAGCATGTGTTATTTGAAATAATGTAACGATTCAAAAATCAAGGTATTAAATAATATCATTAGATTTCACGCTAGACGAGGAGCACATTGACCAGCTCACTTTAGTATTTCGATATATGGAGAAAACACTTCCAGTTGAAAGATTTGTAAAGTTCATGTCAAATCATATATGTTTAGAAAATCATATGAGTTGGTCGAATTTATCAACGAACATTGATCTATTACAATATCGGGGCCAAGTCTAAACTGGAACATTAACTGAGAGATGCCTCAGCGCTTCATAGCATTGTGCTAAAGTAGTCAATCAGACCAGCAAGGTCTGATTAAAGCTTTTATTGAAAATTTTTAGATTAAAGCAGTTGTGGCGCAGTGGTAGCGCACTTGCCTCAGAAACGTAAGATCCGTGGTTCAAACCCCACCTCTGGGCAAGTTTTGCGACATCGGTTGGGAAGGAGGCGTGAACTTCCTATAAAATGCTCTTCCGCGGTGCTCTGTGATGAGACCGTGAGGACTTCTTGGGGCACCTTAATCAACTTAAAAAAAAAAAAGTCTATGACTATGCTGACGCAAAAATGGTTGGTGGGCTGCATGTTTGAAAAATATGCTGACAAAAGTGAAACTTAGAACAACTTTGCAGCCTATATTCCTAGTGCAGATTTATTAAAATTAATTTTTTGTAAACATTACTTACTTCGTTTTATTATTGATAAATCTTTTATTAACGTTGTCATTAGCTTGTAGGACACTCAATTAACTTAGTTGGCTAAGCAGCTACAGAATGTTATCCTGCTCTTTGAATTTTTTTGGTGTGCTTGAGGAGATATATTTTTTCTTCAATACTTTAGCACAATGCTATGAAGAGCTGAGGCATCTCTCAGTTTATGTTCCACAAAAAATAATTCTACTCGAACATGTTTTAGAATCAAAAAACTCGATCATAGTCATATAGAGTTAATGCTAAGAATTTTCTGTTTGTTATCTGCACTTTATAAAAGCACTCGATCAATAATCAGATGATAGAGATGAATTGGCTGATGTACGTTGCAGTACATACGGACTTTTAACGCGAATGTTGCAACTTGAGGCGGGTGTTTATACCGTCTTTTGGAATGATATTTTAAAGAGAGTCAATCAGACCAGCAAGATACAACAAGATCCCTAGCTGGCAAGTACTTTAAAAGTACTTTTGAAGTATGATATTTAGAAAAGCATTTACCTACTATA